AAGTTTAAGAATTAAATTGGCTATAAATAATGTATAGGTACTAAATCGATAATAAAAAAAAGGTTAGGGACTAAATTGGCGATTTTCCCAAAAAAAAATATTTCAAAATTTTTATCATAAAGACAATAATAAGAAATATTAAAATTATTTTATATATGGTTTTTACTTTAGATCTTTATTTCATAATATATTTTCTAGAATTGATCATAGACCTCAGTCCTCTTGTCTTTACTTCTTTCTCCGAGTCCACGTTCATCTTTTACTCCACCCTTAACCTTTTATTTTCTTGTTTTCTTTCAACTTAAATTTTTTTGCAAGATAAACTACGACCAACGACTTATTTTTATTTCTTATGAGGTCTCCATAATTTATTTTCTTTTGGTTTCCTTACAAGATTGAATTTATGAATGGCTAAAATTCTCTGATAAGAAGTTCTTTCATAATTTGAACGTGGTCGAAAATATGAATTTATGGATGTCCAAAACTCTCACATGCTATGACTCTTTATTGATATTCTCAATTAGCATCACAAATTAAAGTTGATTAAATTTTTTAAGAGGGAACATATGTATGGAAAAACTCTCCCATCCAAAATTTTTGCATAATCTACACATGGCCAAAACTTTCCCTTGCTGTTATTTATTATAAATGCTCTTACGAACCGTTTGGTTGGTGGGTTTTCTACTCTTCCATGGGTATAGAATGTGCTTTATACCCATAGATGATGTTTGATATACTTCTATGGGTGTGGTTCAATCACAATCAAAAACCCAAAAGTAGGTAATGGTCATTTCTGACTAATTTGGGGGGAATGAACCCCATTGACGAATTTAATGCCAAATGACATAAGAAAAATACCAAAAAGAAAGAAAATACGGCCATCTGTCCATGGTGACTAGGGTTACAAACAAATCGAGCCGTTCATGAGTCGCTCGCGAACAGTTCAAGTCGAATTCAATCAACATCAAGTTCAAGCTAAGTCAAACTCAAACTGTAGTTCAAACATATTAACCTCATTAGCTCACGAGTCGATTCGACTATATATATATATATATATATTTATTTATTTATTTATTTTATTTTACTAATAAAATTACATATATATCCCTAATATTTTATTATTTGTTAAAAAAATTATTATTTTATTTATTTTTTAAAAAAATAATTATTTTTTATTTTTTTAAACTCGAGCTCAACCTGTTACATTGAGAACTCATCAAACTCGAATTCGAACTTGATAAAACAAAGTCGAGACTCAATTCGGCTCGATTAAGTCCAAAGTCGATTCAACTCTACTCGTTTGCATCCTTAGTGACACCAATCTTTCTTTCTTCTTGTACTCTTTTCCCTTTTGTGTTTTTGTAAGCATACTCATGCTCCTTCCCTTCCTTACTCTCTCCTCGAATCTTTTTCTTTCTTTTTTCTCTTGATGGTTAGCAGGTGGCGGTGGTATTGGGCCATTGTTGCTTGGGTGAAGCTTTTTTTTTTTTTTTTGGCAATTATTGTGACTTTGACAAACTTTTTTTTATGAAACCTTAACGCCCTTAATTTTGTGATTTGCAGGCAAAACATAGCATCACCTTGTGTTTTTTTTTTTTTTTGTGTCTTCAAGGTTTTAAGTTTGACTCCATGTGTTATTGGACAATGTGATGTCAAATTAATTTTAAGGGATAATTTCAGATACCTCCCCTAAGGTTTTTGACAGTCTCACTCTCCTCCCTTGTGGTTTCAAAAATATCACAAACCTCCCCTGTCAGAATTTAGATCCCATTTCTTACATCATCATGGCCAAAAAGACTTAAATACCCTCACAAGTCAGCTAATATTTTGTGATTATCAGGATAAATACATTCCAACTCATGTTATTACTTTTTTCTACGCTATATCTAATCTCCCTTTTACACGTATACATAGTTAAATAACTAACATCTAACATGATGTAAATTTTTTTAACACCTAACCATTCCAAATTTATGCGTACCATTACACTACCTTTTATAGATATACACAATCAAGTAACTAACATCTAACATAAAGTATATATTTGTAAATTGATTGTACCTCATAGATCATCCCGTGTAAGGTGTTTATATGCAAATTAGTATTAGTCATATAGATAAAATTACATACCCACTGCAGCTTGTAAGGAGATGCACAAGTGGGTCAAAACACCAATAACCATTCCAAATGTATACATACCATTGCACTTTGCATATTGCTACGATGACTAATTGCAATATGCATGTGAACAAATAACTGCATGTTCAACAATTTCTATGCATCGTACTTGGTCGATAATACGGTGTACATTATTTCAACCAGATTGTACATTCACTAAGTATTTATATGATGCTACTTATTGAAGTAAACTACCTCTCTACTAAATATTTAATGCACTCTCATAAGTACTAATGGTTGATTTAATATGCAATTGGAACAAATAACCATCTAGTAAAAGCTTTTGATATAAATATTATTGATGAATAACATATTGTATTTGAAATTATCCCTTTTTTTCTAATTTATTTTTGGTTTTTATTAGTTTTCATTATTTCACTAATATAACTTGTACACTTACCTCAGGGGCATTTAAGGAAACAAAATTCCCTCTCTTTCCTGAAAACACTTTTTTATGTTCACTTTTGACATCATGGGCTGATTTTGTTACAAAATCCTAAACCTCAGGGGAGGTTTGTGATATTTTTGAAATCACAGGGGAGGAGAGTGAGACTGTCAGAAACCTCAGGGGAGGTTTCTGAAATTATGCCTAATTTTAAATTTAACTTCTCCAAAATAAGATGATTGTTTTGATAGTCATTTGGCATATAAATTTTTTGAATTGGTTGATGTGGTGGACTTGCCACATTGGTGGTGATGGTGGTTAGGGCTTAGCATTGGAACTTAGGAAGAAGAAGGGAAAATGGAAAAAAAATATTTAAAAAAAATTGAAAACCCATTCCTTCTGATTAGACAGCTAATTATTTTTTCAAATATATTTACTTACATTATCATTACAATTTCCAATACATCTTTTTATCTTCTCAATTATCTTTTTATCTCACATACATCACATTACAAAAATTACTACAGTAAAAATATCTCAAATAACTTACAACCCAAACAAACCTAGGTTTTGGCAATACTCATTGCCATTGAAGAATTTTTTATGGCTATTGCTATTGCTATTCCGTAGCGTATGCCAATCGGGTAGTTAGTTATCAGGGGTTAAAGTTGACACATTTTCAGCTTACTTTCTTAAGCATCCATTCAAACCTTTGTGATTCACAATTTGGATACACTCTTTATTTTATTATTCACTTTAGCACCACTGCCCATCTTAATTTCCCCACCATTAGTTGATGAAAATCATTTATTCTTCTAGCCATTCTGATGCTTTCGTATTTATATTTGCAGCCATAACCAAAACTTTTAAAAAAAAAAAAAAGTCCAGGAGATCTTGACCAATTTTGGGAAACATTAAACCCAAAAGCCGAAAGGGAGAGGAAAAATTCATGTATGATAATATAGGGACTACGCCCCTGGCAATAAAGGCACCAAATATGTGCATATAATTGATAATTGGACTAAATCATGGCGCTTTGTGAATTAGTATATTCTGAGAGATAACCAAGAGTATAACACTGTTGCTCGCCTCTCTTAAAAGTCCCACAGAAGTCATGCATCTAAAGTCTAAACAAGAATTCAAAGAAGTGAAAAATAATTATTCTTTGAAAAATAATTAAGTTTGACCATATCATTTTTCCCAAAATTAAAAAAGAAAAAAAAAAGAGATAAAGATTGACCATATCACATCCAGAAAGTACTTAACAAACAAGAACCAATTAATTGGCTAAGTATCAATATGTCCATCTCATGAGTAAAGAGACACAGGATAATTATTAATTAACTACATGTGTATATCATTAGGAAATGATTCTTTTCCACCAGCAAAAGCATTAACCTATCTTCTTCATGCAAGTTTTCTTCTGATAAGTCCCTTGAAGAAGTCCAGACTGCAGCAGAAGCAACAAAATAAACTGGTTAAGCCCAGATACAAAGAAAGTCATGTGCTAATAGGTAAAGGGCACTGCCCTTCACATGCCCCAAGAATTGCAGGTAGCAAGAATGATCACACGATATCGTAGTAATTAGTTTTATTACGATGCCCTCCAACCCTTTCTAGAGAGAAGGAAGAAGGGAATCAAAGATAAGATTTTGACTAACTGTCACCCTTGTTGATTATTATTATTATTTTTTTGTCAATTGTTACTTTATCTATAGTACATCCTACACAATCCTAATCTAACGGAGAGACCCAACTAGGTCTAGGGGAGCCTGTGCGGACTGCACCACCACCGGACCAGACAGGTGCATCCGTCTGAATTTTTTAGGAAACCACTCCAAGCCTTAAATGGCTTAGTGGTTGGGCTGGTGGTTCATCATTGTTGATTAATGACTTCCCCAAGTATATTCACAACCTTGAAGGAGAATCGAGAGACAGCTAACAATATTTTGTAATGCATTTTATTTAAATCAAGAAAATGGTTTACCAAACACATTTTAATAGCAAGATCTACTTTTGTATGCTAGAAAAAGCACATGCCTTGCACGATATGTTTAAGTTTAGCACATACTTGTATTTACCTATCTAATATGAACCGAAAATGTTTTAGATGTGTTGAACATAGAAATATCTTTAAAGATGCTGCTGCACTTCCATGTGCTCAACTACATAAAAGCTTGGCAATCTTTATTTTTTTTTAGAGAGAATAAGGAGATATTGACTATCTACATAGCTAATTGACATCTTTGTCCAACATTACGAGTTATTTTATTCACCAATCAAGGGTATAATAGGTAAATCCAATAAGTAAGAAACACTACAAGGCACTTTTAGATGTAGCGTAGAATTGACCATAGTATTTGACCTGAAAATCCCCAAAATAATGTAAGATCTAAGCAGATTACTCATACTAAAGAAAGCTCCAAGTAGCTCAAGACACAGTAAACAAAGTTGTGAATAGATTATTTAGGCTAAAGATCTACACCAAAAGAAACAAAATAGGAACACAGGCAACAACCATCAACAAGCCTTTGTCATTGAATGGCAACTTATTTAAACAGTCAGAGCATATGTCTTGAAATTCTAGTTGCAAAAAATCCTAGCAATGTTGAGAATACTTAGTTAAAACTATGGTAAAGCTTTAAGATTTAAAGCATTTGCCAGTCCAATTATAGATCTTAGGACAATTGTGCAGACTATTCTTCATCCTAGTCTGTGAAATCTTCATAAATATTACCGGTTCAGTAAAACGTTCAATTCACATTTTCTGTGTACTAAGAATGATTTCATCAAATGTTCATATATATATATATATATATATATATATATACACCCTACTTGGGCAAATCCACCAGAAAATCTTGCTACTTTTAATATACTGTTCCTCTTCTGTCAATTCCTGATATGCCGAGCTCAACATAACCACCTGCCATAAAATTTCCCTCAGGTCTGGAGCAGATTTATACAGATTTCTAGGAACAGCATTATGCCAATCATATTGGAAGTAGAGACGATACTTTCTCTACAGCATTCCTTACCATTCAACCACCAAAAGAGAAAGAAACAGTTGGTCACATGACAGAAAAATATCAAATAGTAAGGTACGCCACATGGTACACCAACAGCAATCACATTCCACCAAATAAGTAAGATGGGTTCCCCATGTCTAGCACCTGCCAGACAAGGACCTACCTTGATGGAATGTGATTTAATAGTGGTACATGAAGACCTAATGGTCCTCAATCATCTAGTTTTGATAAACCTCAAGGGTTAGTATTTCCAGTTTGATAAACCTCAAGGGTTAGTTAAATCCTCTCTATCCAGGATGGTAACTCATCAAAAACTGGTTTCACCTGTATTAGTAGACCGAAGTTGAACTGCTGTCATTTTAATCACATAGAAGAAAGATGAAAAATGGTATCTTCATACCAATTTCCAGACATGTGGATATTTGCTTTAACTAGACCAAAAAACTTAACTTTAAGCATGAACATCTTTATGCAAATAGAAATCAGTGATTGGTAACTCAAGCATTCTGTTTCAAATGGGCATGATCTGATAAAGTTTGTATCTGGATAAAGTTTGTATGCTATATCCATAAAAAATCACCAATTTTTTTTCCATCTTGTTGATGACCGCCTGTGTATTTTATTTTACATATTTTATTATACGTGACTGTACCTCAATTTAGTATATTCTTAGGAAAAGATGATACAATGCATATGTGATTGGTAACTCAAGCATTCTGTTTCAAATGGGCATGATCTGATAAAGTTTGTATCTGGATAAAGTTTGTATTCTATATCCATAAAAAATCACCAATTTTTTTTCCATCTTGTTGATGACCGCCTGTGTATTTTATTTTACATATTTTATTATACGTGACTGTACCTCAATTTAGTATATTCTTAGGAAAAGATGATACAATGCATATGTGATTGATAAAGGATTTCATTCTAAGTTTGCAAAGAAAATTCAGGAGCAAATGATAGAAAATTTAATAGAGTATTGATCAGGCTATAGAAACTATACAACACCTATTGCCATCAGGGTGAAGCTCGCATGTTTGACCATCTTCAGAAATAGCTAACAAATATCCAGATGATGTCAAACCCTGAAAAACAAAAAAGTACTCTGCAATTCTGATCATTTACAATGAGACATCATTTCAAATCAGAAAATAGTACTAATGAACTTGGTGAGAGAGGATAGCATGACAACCACTCTTTCTGATATATAATGTAAATTAGATACTCATATTTGACGACACAAAGCAAAAGTAGTAAAGCTTGAACCTGCCAACACAATATCCTATACAACATCAAGGCACTGAGCAGCAAAGTCATAAAGGGTATCATCACTCCAGTTCCCATTGCTTCCCTACCATTAATCACACTTTGTCCATGTAATTCTCATATGTATCCACCAAGTAGGCTTATACGTATGTGAATCACTATTCTCATTTTTAGTGATTCAAGAACAGAATTGAAGAAAAATGTCATGAAACACAACTGTATACGATTCTACTCCCTACTGACAGCCAAGAGAGAACAACGATGCATTTCACCGCAACAGCATGCAACTAAAGCCAAAAAATGCATGTTAGTATTGTCATCAAGTGGCAATGAGGAATATAGAAGGCTATTGGAAAACCTCCATCTGTCCTCTTACCCCTAACACAGTTTTTTTAATATATCACTAAAAATGCAATCCAAAATCCAGCAAGAGTATCCGACGGAAATGATAGAGATAAGACTTTTTTCTTGGCAAAATTTATTTGAGGTTATGATGCAGTCTAAATCAGGTTTAAGGTGTCAAAACCTTCAATGTTCTCATACTGAAGGCTAACTTTCAAGAGGGAACTATTATAAAAGAACAATTTTCAATCCAATCCATGAACCAGAACTTTTTTTCATCTTTATTTATTTATTTATTGATTTTTATCCTATGATTGAAAATGCTACTGCTTTGCACTTAGTCTATAGTTTTAATACATGGTAGTTTTTGATCACCTACCTTTAAAATATAAGTTGTAATGCATCAGAATCTTGGAAAGATTCCAAGTTGAAGGTCCATAAACAATCTTAATGCACTATTCTTGCCGATTTACGATCTTCATGAACAATTGAAGGCCCATAACTGCCCATTTTCAAGGATGTCAGCCGGATATTATTGCCCACCAGCACCATAATTTGTCCGTAAACCACTTTCCCCAGGTTGAATCTCTATGCAAATTCAAATCAGCAAATCTTAGAACATACTTATTATTCACATTCTATCAATTTCAGGCCCGGTTGCCTGTGAAAAGCTTTTCTTGTATTCACTATTTAGGCTAGAAAATTGTAACTTAGATTTCCGAAGACTTCAATGAATTATTCATCAAAAAACTATATAAAAATCAAGGAAAAAAACCAAGAGCTTAACAGATTTTTGGTCAGATTCAAGAAATAGATTAGATATTTCTAGGCTCATCATGTATACTTAAACACTCATATCAATGATTGATTATAGAAGCTAACCTGAATTGTGACAACGTTTTCCACAACTTGGTCCTGATTATCATTTTTGTCCTGTACTATAACTCTTTGCCCACTGCACAGAAGCAGCATAATAGAAACAAGAGTTTAACAGTATATCAGATTCTACCTCTCATTTTCTACCTGTATATGGTGCACGAAAACTAAGTTGTCAAACATATATCCGTAAATAGCATGCATACGATAAATACAAAAAATGGCATATTGCCCACAAAACTTGGAAACATTTTCCGTCAAAATTAGAAAAGCAAGTAAAGCCTTTTATTTTGGACATCCTCCCTTCCCTCCATACCTGAAAAACGCTGCTTTGGAACCACAACCCATGCATTTTGCAATGAAGGAAATTTGTCCATAACAATATAATAAATGAAGTACAAAAATAACATCTTCACAAAAGCACTTCACAGAGCTGCATTGGACAAAATGGGATAGACTTCCAGGCAACATTCAACTTTCAAAGAAAAGTTATCAACATATCAAACTTCTAAAGGGTACCATTAACCCTAGTGTGCAAGGAAAAAACACCATCTACATGTAGTGTGTTATGATGAAGGTACTTTCACCTGTGCAACCACGTTTTATAGTACAGCGGCTCAAGAGATTGGAATCCTGCATAAAATGAGGTAAAAGACGTAAATCTCATGCAAGTTATATCGTCATGTGGAACTCCCATACAGTCAATCCTGTTTTGAACTAAAAACAACCAGGAGTATGCAAATTAACCAACAATTTGCAATTCATACTAACAATTTTACCCCAATAGACAAAAATCTTCTCACCTATTTTATAGTTATGTTTTCATGTATGCAATCACACAGATATGTAAATAGAACTGCAGTCCATTTTTCACAGCACTGGAAAAAAGAGAAACATGGTTAATCCATTAGGATTGAGGATGTGCATTTTAATGCTTGAAGGAGTTTTTTCCAAAATGTTATTCCTGCAATTGAACATTAGCCCCATTTCACAAAAATTTTTACAAGTACAGCAATAGGTCTAGCATATTTGAAGCCTCCACGCTGCCAAAAAGTTGACAATACTAAGGAGCAGGAAATGTAGTCATTCTATCATGAATAACTATCTTGCATACCTTTGCAATTAACCTGCTAAGCACAAGAGCAGGAAAATGGAAAGGACAAAGAGAACCAAAGGTGGGATGAACACTGAGAATTGTCTAGATGGTCATATGACCTAAAACACTACAAGAAAAATTATCCACCTTGGCCCATGAAAACAGTGTAGAGATCCTCAAATTTATTGAAGAAGGCTGCCATTATGTCTTCTCGTTGTAGTTCATGAGCAACAGGAGTCCATTTTTGTAGAGTTGCATTCAAACAAGTAGTTGGTTTCTCGTTGCTGACATTCAAGCCTATTCCTGCAAAAATAAAAATAAAAAAGCAAATGAAATTAATTCTAGTCTAAATTCATTAAGTAACCTCCAATGCCAGATGCAATGATGCAATCATACCAGATACCATGTTTGAAATCTTAGGACATGGCCATTGTAAAATGTCATGATAGAAAGCTTATATAAAATTTTCAGCTTCATTAGGTTTGCTTGAGCAGATGGCAGAAAACTGCTAGTTGAATTGGATACAATGAAAAGGATAAGACTGTTTACCAGCACTGACATTAAACTTGTTTGACTTATAAGTTGATGTGCACAAAATGCCTCCAACTTTAAGGCCATCTAAATACAAGTCATTTGGCCACTTTATTTTAACATCAAGATGTTGTATGCCCTGAAAGAGATCATATCATATCAAGACAAATATTAAGTATTCATTAAAATAGTGAAACAATGATGATGTTGTTTTACAGATACAGTAGCAACAGAACCTACTAAACAATATGTTGCTGCAAATTTAATTTTTATTCCATGCATTGGAAAGATCAAGCAGGACAGAAACGAATCCTATTTTCATCAGCTATGCAGTCACCCTTCTCAAAACCCTAATCCAACCCAAATTAAGTATGAAACTGCAGTACAACCACTCTTTTCAACGGTAAATAATCAGAAAGGGGAAGTCAAGTCACAATTTTCAGACTGAACCACAGCTGGAAATTCTTATCACTCCACTGTTCCATAGAGAAGCAGAACGAATTTAGATTATAGCCCAGCAATAGATATTCTGGATTTCAGAAAGGAAATCATTATGGTAACTGAAGCAGAAAGGGATATCATTATTACTCTATCCTTCCGTAAGATAATATAAATCAGCAGAAAAATCTAGATTACCTTTCACGAGAAACATACATTGTCCACTTTCAAGAAAAATATACTGAGCATCTACTTAACATACATCCAAATTTAACTTCCAGCTCAAGTCTGGCAAGTACATAAGCTTTTCCCAGTAAGTGTTCCATTACAAAATATTCTAGCCTATACATCGGCTAGCAATTCAAATAGCAGTGGTAGAAGATTTAGAAAACTAAAATAATCTAGAAGATAACACCATGAAAATTCAAAGCACACTTATCTTGCATTTATCCAGAAATTTTTTTAGTTTTAGCAATTCAGGATTATAAGCTGATCTAAGACATCTATTTACATATTAGTATCTGTACTTACGAGGAGTGCCAATTGCTTCAATTCATCCCTAATTAATAGTTGTCGAACTTATCTCCTGCTTAACATACTTCATTGATGATGAAACATGAACTATCAGATTTCAGAGCGCATGAACTACTGGAGAATAGATCCCAACCATATCAAGCAGATGGAAGAAGTAAAAAGACAGGAACATCTTCTATCATACTGTCTTACATCCCACAGGAAACAGTAGTACATTATATTACAGCTCCTATCGTAACCCCAATAAACACATTCAACAGTTCTTAGAATTACAAAATTGTCCATGCTGCAACTTTTCACCCAAGTAAGACGAAAAAAGAATATGAAAAATCGAATACAAATCAGACATCAAATGATATCTTCATTAGTATTGGGCCAAGAAAAACAAAAGATATGGTCACAATGTATGAACTTCTAAGAAAAAAAAGGGAAAATCGTGCTTTACAAAGACAAAAAAGATACTTTTGAAAGCTTCCAACCTACTGAAACAATAATTATCAAGAGAAACAAAGTATTATCACTGTCCTTATCATCAATTTTCTCGTTTATTGTTGTCATCTACTATATTATAGTGATGGTACTGCTCATAAATTAATTTTGACAGCACTAGACCAGAAAATACCATGGAACCAAATCCACAACTCATCTAATCATGGCCATAAGTTTTACCAAATAAACCAGTAATTCATCATTTATTAACTAAATGTAAGACAGATGAAAACATGTTCACTAATTGTGCTTACCTTTTTCTGGCAAATATCTTTAACTGCCTCAGTCACAGCAAGACTAACCACATACTGCACTAATGGCACCACTCTGCCATCCTCCATTTGTATAGTGAAGGAAAATAATAGGCATCCTTTTGGAGATTCCCACACGTTTTTAGACCGACCTTTATGTTACCACATGAGCTCAAAGGCATAAGGAGTATAAATAAAATGTAAAGTAGAGCCCAAATCAACATGGCATAGAACCCAATATTCTAAACATAGTGGTACCTCTCCCTTTGGTCTGCACATCTGCAACACAGACTGCACCAATTGGCAGCTCACCAAAATTGCTGCCAAAGTAAATATAAGAACATCAGTAACTTACAACCAACTTTTATCAATTTAAAATCCTGTATGCATAAGTTCAAATTTTAGCATGATGATTCAAATCAGAACTTTAAGAATTCAATTTAAAAATTTCCAGCAACCTCAAAGCTTTCAACCTTTCCATCTTCTGCCAAATTCCAGTTACGATACCTTTTTCTTTTAAACTTTTTTATTTATCCAGGAAAAGCGCACCTGGGCCACAACATTTTGAAATTTTAAAACATAAATTTGGAAAGCTAGTGCACAGATTAAACAATTTCCAATTAATACGACTTCAGTTTAACTGTATAGAAAATGAAGCACTATCACTTTCCAATGCTTTTTGATTGACAATCAATTACTTTAAAGAACTTGTAACAAAGAAACAAACGAGCAAAGCTTACTGCGAAACTACATCGTGTGTGGAGCCTAATCTTGGAGAGTACATTAAGAATCTTCCAAATTGTGAAGTAGAGAGAACATCCATATAATGATCAACCTGGAATCCTTCAGAATCGCAATGCAGATTCCTAATCTCTGAATGCAGACAAATTGAAACAGGATTGCTATCCAGAAATCTCAAAACATTATTACTCTTCAATGATAGAGCAAATTCGTTCTCTGCATTGGATTTCCCACAAAGCACCAACACACTAGCTGATTCTGCCTCCATGTCTGTCCCAAAGAAAAAAGAAATTTCAGGATACAAGTAATTGAATACATACAAATCCATGATGTACCAAACATCAAGGGATTTCATTACTTGCTGATGATAGAGAAAGCATGCGGCGTTTGATGATGTGTTTGGGAAGAGAGTGCAGCATAGAAGAGGGACAGTGAGAGCAAAAAAATCTGAAGCTGCTACAATTGGAGAAGAGCATTCTTTTGTTTAGTCATTAAGGCACTGGTGCCTGCTAAGGGTTTCCCTGGCAATAAAGGCAGCAAGGGGTGCTTTATGGCAGAGAAAACAAATTTCAAAGGCTCCACTTGGATAAACGTAGTATGTTGTTGAAAAGTACCCAAAAACAGTCCAAAATCCCATCCAAACATTTTAAAAAAAAATCTACAGTAAAAGTATTCTAAAGAACACCCTAGAAAACACCCATCTAAATTATTTAAAAACAATCCAGAATTTACTGTGCAGGTTGTGCGTGTTTGTGTGTGATGGTCTGAGTATGTGCATGGAATGAGAAAGAGAGAGTTGACCAGAGGCAATTAAAGGGAATGAATGTGTGAGTCTGTGGACGAAAATTCTGAGATTCTTAATAGGGAACTGAGAGAATTAATCTACAAAAAATAAGTCAAGGAAAGTATCCAAGAATCTACTGAAAGATTAGAAAACAAAACAACGAGTCATGCATTTTCTGCAAATCTGAATTTCAAAAGACAAATTTCTCTAATTTTTTTTAGTGGATGAATTTAATTTCCCTAAGCTTTCCTTATCTCGTTATTCTTAATCAAATAGATTGATCAGTCTTTATCATTGATCTCATCGTAAGCTCTAAGTAATTATATAATATGTATGAAGAATTACGATGTACTACATGCAATCAAAAAATTTGCACCACACCATAACTGGTAAGGTCAAAAATTAAATATGTTTCTGTCCTCCACGAACATCGAGTTGTTAAAAAGATCAGCTAAAAGCAAAAAAAGTATCAATTCAATGGCTAGACTAAAGATTAACTCCAACATACATTTCCTTGGAAACACATTTACTCAAAGAAAAACCTCTTTAAACCCAGAGAGATTACCCTGTAAAAGCCAAGTAACTTCTCTTTCAGACTATCTATGCCAGCCTTGGTTCAACTATTATTAACTTATCTCAATGTAACATAGATGACCTATTAACAATGCTATTCTTTTGTCATGTCATTTACTTTGAAGATTATAAATTAGGAAGCTCCACATAAAAATATATGAATAATAGTGCTCAATGAACTGTCATTTTTTTGGGATCATATAAAAATGGAAAATTGTTCCTCTTCTAAATAGGTGGCAGGTGTCTTGGCAGCCAAACCAGTTTGTGGTGTTATTTTGGTTTTTCTTCATCCTCTTTTTTTTCCCTCCTTTTCCAAAGTTGCAATGATCCATAACTAGGCCCACTTACCCAATTATTTTACAAGAGCAAAACTACCAGAAAGTATGCCCTCTTTAGTTGGAGCATGTCATGAGCAAGTCCATTTGAATTTCTTGTTTCCACGTGGGCACCCAACTTGCCTTAAGATCTAAAACTGCCATGTTTCAAATCATGCTATCCCCACATGGCAGCTGACTATGCCTTCCAAATCCAAGATAACAACAATAATGTAAAAGATCTTTTCATTTCTTTTTGACACTGAAGTAAAACAGTCTCCTTTTTTGCTCTTTTCAAACTTTCGAAGGTCTTTTTCTACAAGCATAACAACTAAACTTTACCGTTAATTTGAACACTTCATGTATCCCAAACATGAAATTCTCCTTTTTTGTAACACAAATCAGATTTTTAGAAGCCGGAGTCTATTGACTAAACCACAAATAGTTCCATAAAAGTCATGAACAGATGTGGAGCAATTAGAGGATGCTTTTGCATAATCCATTAATTTGTAGGGTCAATTTCTTTAAATTGTACTTAGTGCATGATCAAACAATACAAAAATTTGTTACTTTTGTGTGCATTATATGTTTATTAATCCGACATTTATGAGAGGGATCGTCTCTTCACTTGTGTATGCTGATTAATCCAATCTGACAAGGGCCACTTACCCCAGAAAAAAGAAAAAAATGACACATATTGATTGATGTGAAATCCTTCTTTACCTTCACCCACTAATTAATTACAAAGAAAGCACATGTTTGTTGCATTCATGAATTACAAGAAACACCAGAAAAGTATGAATGTTTTCATTGTTTGACAATTTCATTTTTCATTGTTTGATGATTTCATTCAAACAAATGAAAGAGCTAAGGGAACAGCCATAGGACCATATTCCATACAAGTTAGTGCCTTTTAGAAGCAAGAAAAAGAATCAAGATTCCCACAGGTTAAGAAGTTTCATGCTGTTTCTAGGTCACAAACCCACTTTAATAAATTAATGCTCTTGTTTTTTACCTTAAAATTTTAACTTGGCTCCTATACAAGTCTGTCCAAAGGGGCTTTCCACTTACACTTCATCAAGACAGTTAAGAAATACCCCTTCGGCCTTCTCACGTCTCTTTACACTTCTTCTTATACCAGTACCAGGAGAGCTATCTACTCTTTGTTGTTATCTTGTCAAGACTTCAGTCTAAGTTCTTTCTCATGTTTCTTTCTTTCCATCTATCAGTTCAACATACTGTACTCCCAAGTTTGTTAAAGGCAAAACTATATTTGTTCAGTTAAGCATTCCATCATACATCTAGAAGGCAAAAGAAACTATCAAAAATTTTTTCCACCCATTATTTTCATCAACACAAAGAGCAATCAATTTCGTTCATTCTCACTCACAGCAGCACTAATTGGTGAAACTATTCAAGAAAATTAAAACGGCAGCAGATATGAGCAGCAGCGAAATCAACAAATAATAAAACATTCCACATAACGTCAGAAATCACCAGAAGAAAATTAAGGATAGGGAAAACAAAAAAGAAGCTTTACCTACTTTGTTGGTGTGGTGACGGTGGTGGCGAGCTCCGGATCCTCGGATATCCTTCACTCTTTTTTTTTTTTGACTGTGCGTTTGGGTCGTGTCAGCCCGTGTATACGTGAAGAAAAAAGAGGGTGTTGAGACAACAACTGTGGTCTTGGGGACTGGCGGCCGGCGGGGATGTGGCTGTCAGGATATTGATTATAATTTTGGGACTAAAGAGGGAATTAGTTCAGATTGAAGATTCAGAATCGGGAAAAAAGAAGAGAGAAACGAGAGAAAGGAGAAAAGAGTGAGAAATTAAGGCCCAAATACGCTGTCCAGCTCTTCTGCTTTCGATTCTCGACTTTCGTTTGCTTTATTTCTATGAAAGAGAATAACTACACGCTTTTTGAAGATCAAAGCATTAAGAGAGAGAGTAAAGCATAGCATAGACCTTCTGCCCTAGCCCATAGATATTGGATAACCTACTTTCTGCTCTAATTTTTTTACGCACAGTATTAAGCCTTACCTACAATTGCATCATTTCATTTTACGAGCTTTTGGTAACGTGTTCTTTGTATCTGTTTCTACGTCACGGTACCTTCATGTCAACTGTTTTTAAATTCCTTGAACATATTCCCATTTTTCATGCTCTTTTGGGTATGATCACAGATGTGTGTAACATCCAGCAAATAACTACTACCTGAACTCTATAGTTTTGCTCATGAAGAGTGAGCTAGCAGCACTTTGTAAAGAGGTTGGCTCCATCATGATTTGACCTGCTGCATTGACTGCCACTTAACTGGCAACTTATGATGAACCAAAACAGGTTTAATGCTACTCATGCTATCTTTACTTCGGTATACATGGAAAAATTTGTGCCTGATGATCCTCTTGGATTTTTATCTGGCTTTTAGCTTCTAGCAGAATTTAGAAACTAAATTTATGAGTTAATGCTGGCACTCATGAAGTGGACTATGCCTCTTGAAAAAAGGATTATATCTGCGCCTAACGTCGGTCACATTCCTTATTCCTCCTATATATTACACATATAATGCTTACATATGTAATGAAAAAAAAGAAGGAAAAATCGTCCAAAACGTCCCTCCAATTTTGTAATATAACTTTTTTCATCCTTCACTTTTAAAAGTGTAATTTTATATCCCTTACATATTTATATCGGACAAATTTAGTTCCTAACTAGATTTCCGATCATTTTTTGGCCAGAATCCATCATGTGCAAGGCACGTGATCATTTTTTAAGGATAAATTTGTCAAATTATATTTTACATAATCTGATCTATAGTCCTCCATATTTTATAAAATAAATATTTTCGTCCCTCACATTTTATAAAATGATTTTTTTCATCCCTCATATTTCACAAAATGAATTTCTCCATCCCTCATATTTCAAAAAATTAGTTTTTCATTTCTCACTAATTATGTGCGTGAATACATTTTTTTAAACACATGTATATGTCTATTTGATTTTGTTTAATAATAATAGCATAAACACATGTATGTAATTGGGCCCAACTTGTGGGTTATCTTCTCTTTTTGTATGATTATGACTAATATTTATCAATAGAACCTTAATTTGCATATTCTTATTGTATTTTGACCGAAAATAGCTTTTATTGGCCAATTTGACAATAAATGCAAGATTATTTACTAGCTAATACCAGATGTAATCAAATGATCACGTATAATATATGTTATTCGTATTGTTAAGTGAAATCAAATAGACATATACATATATTTATGATATTCGTATTATTAAGCAAAATCAAAATAGACATATACATGTGTTTAAACAAAATGTATTCACACATTTTTTTTAGGGTTTCCCTCACATACATAATTAGTGAGTGATGGAAATATTCATTTTTTGAAATGTGAGAGATGGAGAAATTCATTTTGTGAAATGTGAGGGATGAAAAAAAATCATTTTATAAAATGTGAGGGATGAAAATAAATGTGGAGGACTATAGATCAGATTATGTAAAATATAATTTAACAAATTTACCCTTAAAAAATGATCACGTGCCTTGCACGTGATGGATTCCGGCCAAAAAATGATCGGAAACCTAGTTAGGGACTAAATTTGACCGATGTGAATATGTAAAGGAAATAAAATTACACTTTTAAAAGTGAGGGATGAAAAACATTATTTTACAAAATCTGAGGGACGTTTTAGACGATTTTTCCAAAAAAGAATGAGTACATACATTTATAACTATATGCAATATATGACTACTTCTTGTTGGTCAAGAAGATGAAGCTACTGGGTATTAAGTCTAAAAAGTAATAGGCCAATTTTAAGTAACAAATTATAACTTCAAAATGGAAAATCATTTGAAAGTGGGCTAATTACTCAGAATATTGCCAAAAAAAAAATTTGGAAGAGTGGTAGTCTGACAATGGGTTAGTGCAAAACTATTACGGTTGGGCTTAGTCATTTTGACAGTAAAATCCAAAATTTTTTTTTAAAGAAAAAACAGAGCTCGACAGCAAATGAATTTTTTTTTAAAAAAAAACTGGCTGTCGGCTGTCGGCTGTCAGCTCGGCAGTTAGTTTTGTCAGTCCTGCTGGGCTATGCTGCAAAAGTTAAAAAAAAAAAAGGCTGGTCTCGATTAGATATGTGAGCTCAGATTCCATTGACTGGAATCTTTTTTTCAGATTTGCAAGACTTAATTGTGGCAGGAGCTACAAAATCTTGCTTAATTAATTGTGGCAGGAGCTGCAAAAGTAAATAAAAAAAATTGTCGTTAACTCCTTTCCGGGTTGTGGTGTAAAAAGCCAAAAGAAGGCTGCTAGATTCTAGCTCTGATTGGAATTAAATTCTCCCTGCCCAAACTTTAGAGCTTTAGCTTTGGAGCTAGCTAGACTTTCACCAAAGCGGCATCCTCGCCTATATAAATGAGAAATTTTAATGAAGCATATAAAAGTCATTTAAGCGTATTTTTGGTTAACAAAAAATGTAAAAGTGTAGTTTAAGGTTTTTGAAGATTTTATCTTGGAAGATATGTGATATGTTTAAAATTTTTGGAGTAGTAAGTGATATTAAAAGAAAGTTGAAGAGAGGTTTATGATATTATCCCTTTTTTTAATTTTTTAAAGGAATTTTTTTTTAATTTTTTAATTAAAAACTTATGCTGCTTGATTGATTGAGCCCGATAGCCTTTTTAGTTAAAAAATTTTCCAAGTTGAAACGTAAGAAAAAGTTGAAGACAAATTTGTTAAATCAATTATTCTTATCTTATGTTAAACCCTTAAAAAAAGCTTTTTTAAACAAAAAATGTCATTCAATTTACAATAAGATGCATTTCTGAAATCTTTGAAAAATAATCATTAAAATTATTTTGTATAAGATTTGATTTTAATTTTTTTATAAAATGTATAGAAAATTGATATTTATCCAAATAAAATATACCAATAAACTATTAAATGGCAGTGACTGAGTATAAGAATAGAGGTAGAAGTAAATATGATAGTAGGTAGTTAAACAAAAAATAATTTTTAATATACACTATAATTTTATAAATATAAATTTATTATAAATATAAAAACAAAAAATGGCAAAAATAGAAAAGAAGAAAAATTTGATAATGTGAAATGGTGAAATGGTAAAATTTTAAAAATAACGATAAGCATTCAAATAATAAAAGGTTAAAATAACGCTAAATCCCCATATTGAAATATTCAAAATTTAAAAACATGTATAGGAAATGATAATATCAACACTCGGTATGCCTTTTGCCCTTGCTTTTATCACCTGGTGTTGTGGGCGGACAACAAAATCTTTTGAGCTGTCACCTGCAACGTTCAGGAAAAACTATAGGCTCCTGCGGTGTATCAATTGGAGGTGCAAGATCTATGGAAGCAGCATAAAGTCCTATGTCCTCCTCCTCGACTAACTCTGCAGTCGCACTGCTATTATAATCATTTTGAGAATGATACGTGATAAAATCTCCTGACTGACCGCATCTAGTAGTAGATACGAGCTAGATTGACGTAGGTACAGTCATAGGTTGACCAAAACTGTAATAATTGAAAAGGTCTAAAATAGGAGACATACCACACATGTTGCTAAGAAAAGTGAATATTGGATGCAGTTCAGAAGCAAAAGATGAGGCCGATGCAGTGGCAGCATATCCAAATGGAGGCACATGTGATGAGAATGCAAATTGTCCACCAAATACTGGAAAATGTAGGAGGTCGTGGGATGTGTACCAAAAGACGGAAACTATGGTGAATGTATGGCATCTAGACCAATATGCGGTGAGTGCGGGAGTGACGTGACCTAAGGGTCAAAGGCCAATATATTCTGCATAGGTGGTATAGCATGGGCATCTGCCATTGTCAAAGACACAGATGTAGTGAATTGATTACTAGTTGGGCTGTGTCGAGACTGAATGCCTGCCTTGGCATTTTGAATGCTTGTCTTACCGATGACTTCGTTTTGCAAGCCATGCTTGTGCCGTTGTCTTCAGCAAGATGATGGCCCACCTTGTGTAGGAACATGCCGCACGGGATTCTGGAATGAACTATTTTACAACGTGAAAAGATTATGATCGAAAGAATCAGAATCACCAACTACCATGCGATCAAAGCGCTGGAGGTATTGCATTGATCCATATGCCCCATCAACAATGGTCAATAGATGTGGATGAAACCGACCTTCAGTGTCATCAAGTTCAAGTGCATCATACAATTGTCAGCTAATGTGTTGTATAGGACCCATCTGGCATTGTCAAAGATGGAGAAACTATTACCAATCATTGTCTAATAATAAATAAATTAAAATTTGAGGTAGTAGTAACTTACTAAATACTCAAATTGGCTAGAAACTCCATGCAGCATTTGCCCAAACTATGCATGCTGCTGGATCGGAGGGGTAATGTATAGAATGGTGTGATTGTGATACCACTCGAGATACTTATTCGAAGGTTTGAACGGTACTACGGGCACACCAGGTACCTCTGCATTTGTAGACTATCGCGTCCCATTTTTTAAATGAAAAATAAGATAATTACGGTTACGGGTTTTATAAAAAATGCTTTTTGATTTAATTTTTGATTGAAAATGATTTTTTAATTTTTAGAAAATAAATAAAGAAAATGGGCCTAGAATGAAACTAGAAAGTGCGAAGATTTTGCTCAAATTAAAAGTTTAAAAAAGGTTTTTTAAGAAAAAATAGGAGTCGCCACTTGGTATTGAGTTAAAGTATACGAAGTCATCTAAAATGAATTTTTAAAGAAAAAAGTAGAAAAACCCTTTTAAACAACTCCAACTCTTCGAAAATCAGAGAAAAGTGTTCGGAAATCACGTTTGAAGAAAGAGAAGGCAAGGATAAAATCCAAAGCACCTTTTCAACCTAGCCTATTGCTAGTTGCGTAATTTAGTCAAAAATTTTCTTATTTTAACCTAAGAATTTATCACATTTGAATGTCACTATATGGATGCAAAAACCTAAACCTAGGAGGATATTGGGGGAGTCGGAATATCTCTTCAAAATTTAATTGGTGTAAATTACATTAATTGTGATGTCCAAGTTGACTCTTTGAAGAGGTCACGAATATGCAAAAATATGAGATTCGAAGGAAAAGAAAAAAAAAATAATATCCAAATATACATGACTTAAGGGAATGTATCATAATGGGTGCGGGGCACTAACATTCATGACTAGATTTTTCCTTTTATAAAGGAAATACGAGCATGCTAAGGTTAGAAAACCATACTCGTCCATATCCCATATTCGAGGGGTTATTCTTATCTAATCAAGCAAATGATCTAATCTAGTTCTAATTTTCTTAAATGGAATGCAAGTCTACATGTCATGTTTCGCACATGGGGATAAGGGATATATATATATATATATATATAGGGAAAATATGAGATAAGGGATATACATATAGGGGAAAATATCATGTAAAAATGGTAAGAATCCTAAAAAGTAGAAAATATGCGTGAAATGTAGTGATTTGTCACACAAACATGATCTAACGTGTGGACGGTTCTTAAGGATCTAACATTGGACTAGCATGTCTACAAGTTCTCACTAGCATTGGACTAGCGAGAAATCAAGAAAATAGGGCTACAACCAGCGTTGGACTAGTGTGGTGACGTCATGCATTTATTATAACTAAACAAATCAAATAAATATAGTAAAAGCAATTAAACAGATAATATCACATAAAACACATAAACATAAGCATGATATCTAAATGCAAAAACTCTAAGAAAGCGAGTAAACACGTAAACACACAAACATACAAGCACGCAAGCAAATAAAAGCAAATAAGAACCTAACTATTACATTAGGGGGCCCCAACGACAATCTAAAGGGGAAAAATGAAATAAAACAAAATAATAACCTAACTATTACAACTTGGCATTTAAATGCCTCTCAAATAACCAAAATTAAATTAAAATAAATATACAAAATTAAAATAAATAAAGTAAATAAATAAATAAATGAAATAATAAAAACATTCAAGAAAAAGCATGCAATTACACACTTAAAATCTCATAGGAGCACATAAGATCAAGTAAAATCAAAATAAAAGAGTAGAGTGTACCTCCCTTGAATTGGTGACCTAATGGAATGAAATTTTTCTTGTTTACCCTCCAAAAGAGAGAAAAGAGTCAAGACATCACTTTAATTAACAAATAATCACAAAAAATTGAAATAAACATGACATTGAACAATCAAAGCATTTAAATGAAAGTGGACAACCTATATTCAACAAATTAAGACAAGCAAGGACCCAATTGAAAAAATAAAAGAAGTTTGAGAGATCAAATTATTATTATTACAAATATTAAGGTTCTAAATGAAAATAATAGAATTAAGGCTTAAGATGAAGCCTATCAAAACTAAATGCTAAAATTCACAAAAATAAAACAAAACCCTCTCATCAAACCACAAACAAAAAAATACTACCCAAATCTAACCCATTTTTTTTTAATCCAAATCAAAAACTATAAATCTATCAAAAATTGTTAAACCTTCATATTTCATCCTAAAATTGATGAATAATTTATCCAACAATCATATTAAAGTATACTAAAGAAAATTAAAATTTTGAAGGGACAAAATTGATCATATATTCTCAAATTTTGGGCCATAGTAGTATTACTTGCAAAATTAGGGGTTAGAGTGCAATTTCTGATATTTTTCATGCATCTGGTTCAACGATTTCATCTTCCTCGCTAGTTTCCTTCTACAATATGCTGGGTTCATCAAACGCAAGGGAGAAACCCACCCTCTCCAAGGTTCTAGACTCAAGAAATACCACATTTATACACTCATACCCATAAACTACGCTTAAAACAATCATCAATCAGTAAAATCCAACCAAATGAGTTGCAAAATGAGCGGCAAAAATTTTAGACAAAGAGGCAACAAAGAAAACAGGTTGAGCAAGAATTTCTGACAAGTTTGATGACAAACTAAGTTTACATGAAATGGAAAAAGACGGGATACATCACCTTTGACCCATCAAGAGGATGAAAATCCCATTGAACCTCCAAACAATAGATCTAGACGCAAGAATTCAGAAATTGAACCTTCTTGGGACAGGTTTCAAGGACTGACCAAGCAGTGGATTCAAGCTCGAATTTGACACAGTTAGAGACGTTTTTTTAAAAATTTTTGTGAACAAAACTTGTTCGTCTATCACCCTATATGGTGTGGAAACGAAAAATTCCTCTGAAATGCCAACTTTAGAATCTGATTTTCCTCACCAAAAAGGTTAGATAATCAACCCTGGCTCAGTTTTTTTTTAAAATTTTTTCTGCAATTTTCCTCTCCCCTTTTCTAGTTTTTTTCCCCAATTTTTCTTTGCTGTTTTCTTTCTTTGATCCCTCTCTGATCTTCCCCAGGTTTCTGCCTCCTTCTTTCTTCCCTTTTCTCTTTTCTCTTTTCTCTTTTCTCTTTTCCTCCTTTTTCTCTTGCCCGAAACCCTCTTTTCTCTTCCTCTTTCGTTCTTTCTTTCTTCCTATTTTCTCCACTGCCTGCGACTCCCTTTCCTTTTTCCCAGATCTACTTGAAGCCTCTGGTTTTCCTCTCTCGGCATCCTTATACCATATATAAGAAGGGTTATTATTAGTTTACCCCATTAATGTTAGATTTCAGTATTAATTTTTCTCTCACTATTATCTTGTAGTCATTTTATCCTCAAACTAACGGTCAAACTTAACGGAGTTTATTAATTAAAGTGAAAAGACAAGTTTAACCCTTAAAATTATTATTACTTTACCCCCATAAATTATGATTTCATTATCAATTTACCCATAAAATTATTTTTTAAACAAATTATCCCACCATTAAACTAATTTAACAAGTTAAAAAACTTTAAAAGAAAGTACCCTCCTTTTTGTATAATAAAAATAATAAAAAATTTAGAGTGGCTCTTCTCCTCTTTAATATCAAGAAAAAAAATCAAAGTATTAATTTTTTTCTTCTTAGCAATCTTATTAATATTAAAAAAAAGATGGTGAGGGGAAGGGAGAGAGGGAGAAAGAGCTCAATTCTTTTTTAAAAAAAATACAAATCAAGAAAGAATTAAATACTTTTATTATTTTAAAATTATTTCACTTTACTGTTTATCAGCAGATTTCAATCCTTATCCCAATAATCTTAAATTAATACAATAATGTTAGATTTTTCTTTATTTTTTCTTTTCAAAATCTAATTTTCTATCTCCTTCTTTCCTATCTCTTTTTCTTTTCCTAGTATTAATAAGTGTGAAAAATTTTTTGAGAAAATTCTTTTATTTTTATATTTTTGGATCTCTTAAAGTGAAAAAAAGAAGAATAATCATTCCAATTTTTTATTTTTAATTATATATATAAGGGTAAATATATTTAAAAATTTTTGGCCATACGAATTAGATTAAAATGCCTGGAAAATAATGTTAGGAATTAAAGTGATTATATCACTATAATTTAAAGGAATAAAGTAATAATAACAATGTAGTAATGCTATAGAATAAAATGGTATTTTTGTCCAAAATTTCTTAACATATTGAATTGAATTACTTATGAGGGTGAAGTGACTAAAAGATAACGTTAGGGGGTAAACTGATAATAGTGATATAGTTTAAGGGAGTAAAGTGATAATAACCCATATAAGAACGAGTTTGAGTCAAAGAATCGCTTTGAACTTCCACCGCAAGAATAGGGGTATTTTGGAATTGTGAGGTTGTTGAGTGTAGTTGTGACGACCCCACTTCTCCGAAGAGCGAACCCAAGGGTATCGGCGGGTCGCCTGCCTAGCTCGCGCCAGGACTCAAAACTTAAAGTTCGAAAGAGCACTAAATACAATATATACAATCCAAAAGTTATATTTACATCTTCAAAAGTATCGAGTCAAACCACTCTAATATATTACAACCACAACCAGCAGAAGATAGACCCTAAGAAGGGTCCTTATACAAACCACCAAAACAAAAACAAACATCCAAACCGTTCAACTATTACAAGTCAATCTAACTATACTAGTATACGAGCCAAAAGTCCCCGCGTCGGCCCCTGCTAAGGAAAACAAAAGGAATGGGGTAAGGTATATGCTTAGTAAGTAAACAGGGGCAAAAGCGTAAATTTTCACGTAGCAACCATCACACAATAAGAGTAAAGCAAAAGCAGAAAAGCAGAAAAGTAACATCAAATAATAAGGATACAGGTGGCTCCAAAGCCAATTCATATGCCATGCATGATCTCCTGCCGACACTCCGTCGACCACACTCAATGGTCCGTAGAACTTCACTTGTACACCCACCGACACCTTATCACCCTCACTGGTCAGTCACCTCACAAACTTGCCCGGGCGAACGAAATCACAAACTTGAGCTTGAGTCACAAGCTCGGGTCACAAA